ATTAGTAGTCAAGTAGTCAACCTACTACCACCTCAGTAGAGACATGGTTGGTGCAATAGTTGATGCTAAGTGGTCCTGAGGATGGGAGTGTTATCCTTAGTTTTGGTGGTCACATGGCGTCATTTATGGGGCGGGCAGGAGCAAGAAGTTTTGCGCTGTTTGAGTAGGACACGGTTATGTTCTGCATTGGTTGATTGGCGAGGTCGTCTTGAACATGAGCACCTCGAGTTGATTGATGGCATTGGTCTGTCTCACTTACCCGGGATTATGTAAAGCATCTCGACTAGCCGTTGATTCTGCTTTTGTTAAGAGATGGCAGCCAGATACAAACACATTTCATATGCCATTTGGGGAGATCACGATCATGTTGCACGATGTGTACCATATTCTTGGGCTTCGTGTTGATGGTTCTATGGTTTCCACTACTCCTAGAACAGACTCCATACGGGACGTGTGCTCGGTTATCATGGATTTGACTGCGGATAAGTTGAATGAGAAGTATGGTACTAAAACCACTTGGCAGGGTAGTGGGGTGCTGACTGAGAGGATTTTTGGTACGACTTTGGAGGTGTAGAGGCCCTTTAGTGTCCATTATACTGCATACATATGGTTAGTACTAGGAGGATCACTGTTTTTAGACAAGAGTGGTAACCGCGCTCATCCTTCCTTCATTCACGAACTTGTTGTTGAAGGTGTTCCGATTTATGAGTACTCTTGGGGTTCAGCTACTCTAGCGTACCTGTATCGGCAGTTGGGTACGACATCACGAAAAAATACTGATTCGATCGTTGGTTGTCTCACGCTTCTGCAAGCGTGGATTTACGAGTACTTTCCGTGCTTTTGGCCTCAGCAGGGTACCTTGACAAGGGAGCTTATTATCCCTCGTGCGTCTGCTTGGGATGTTGGATCGGGATGCCCCAACAAGAGAAAGGAGCGCCTCTTAGCTTTTCGTGGTAGACTCAATGAGCTGACTGACCTTGAGGTTAACTGGCTACCGTACGGAGTTGATCCTACACATCATGTGCCTACCACTTTATTTATTGTTTGCATACAATACCGTAGCATCATTGAGTCGTACATGCCTAATCGAGTGGTTTGACAACTTGGATTCGTGCAGGAATTTCCAAGGACCATTATCAGGCTTGAGAAGGCCAAGAGACCGACCAACTTGAAGATGTACCGGGTAAAATTTCCGAATGAGATGACATCTGTTATGTGGACTAGGTTTGTCTCTGGTTCGTCTTTCAGTATAGTGTTAGGTACCTACACCAGACTTGGTCGTCGAGCACCTACGTTCGTACTTGGTTACATGCAGTGGCTGTATAGATTTTCTCACCCTCGTGTATTTCGTGGGGGTTCACCAGCTGGGAGTATCGGTCTACCTGAGAGGACTAACATGGATTATGTAAGTAGTATTGTTTAGTTATACTATTAATCCTACTTCCAGTAATTGTAATGTCTACAATATGTTGTTTTCATCTTTGTAGTGGATGGGTCGGTCCATGGAGATTCACCAAAGATCTCTTGTTGAGTATCCCAACATGTCGCGTGAGTTTAGGGCAATGACTGAGCAGCTGGTAGTTGATTGGAACACGATAATGGGGTTATAGATTTTTGGATTGTAAAATATTGACTATTTTTATCTTTTAGTACTTTGATTAGTGGTTTGATTTTTATTAATTGTCTTACTTATTTTATATTACTCTTTATTCGGCATGAAATGTAAGAACTGGACACTTTTATATTTGGTTTTATTGGATCTTAGTTTTATTACTTTTATTAATCTATATTACATAACTACAAATGTTCAACCTTAATAAAAGTACATAAATATGTTCACTATCTAACTAATGCATCCCACATGGTCCTTCTAACTTCAAATTGCTGATCTCATCCAACAACACTTGGCTCGTGGTGCTCGGTGCACTAACCTGCAATTGGGGGAAGAGGTGAATCCTGTGCGAGATCAAGATGGATGAAATGTGACCCACCAACTGTAGCGATCACAAACTCTTGAGTGGGTGCCCTAACCGTGCTTCGTGCCCGTTACGGTAACACCGTGATGCATGGGTAGTAGCAGGTTGGTACATTCCCTATACCGAGACATATCACCCATGCGTTGAACCAAGTAGCAAAAGGAAATAAATCCTGAATTGCTACCATCCAATGTCGCATATCAACCGCCCCACCATCCCATCGAATACGTGCTATATTTAACCCAAGCCTTCCAATCCCGTAAATCCTTTCGTACAATATTGGATGAGCGGCGACCTCGTTTGCAATTGTTTCCTGAGTGGTAAACCATTGCACTTGATCACCAAAGAAGAAGTCAGCCACACAACAAAAGTCACAGTTTCCATCATCAATGATATCCTTCCATGCCGTGATGTAAGACACCATCGGTCCTAGAAGCAAGTGTAAGTACCTGCATTGCCTGATGTCACAATGATCTTCTGCCCCAAAATAAATGGTCATTTATTAGTACGCTACAAGATGAAATAAGTGTAATTTACATTAGGCCTAATAAGTTTAATTTCATGACTTACCTGCGGTCGTACCTGTTTGTTGTGTACCACGTTGACTGTTTCGACAGTTTACATGCTCGAAATAACAGGGATCACGCCCGGTATCATTGTTCCTTCGTCGACCTCGAACATTGTGGTTTACATGTGGTTCTTCAAGGTTTGTATGATCCGGATGCAGCTCCTTTTCAATGATGCGAGATACATTTCGAAGTATAGCAGGATCACTACCAATGACCTCATCAATCAGGGAACGAAAACATGAAGCTTCCTCGGTTGAGTCATCAACGAACACAGGTATATCAACACCATCACCAATAACCAAGGTCTTCCAGAATGGATGAATTTTCCTGATATACAAGCCCTTATGTGCAACTAGCGAATCATGTATCTGGCAAGCACATGGTAAACCATGGGTCACACGCATTGCACAACCACAACGTTCATACACCTGGTCACTCAACTCCTTCATCCTTGTCGTCTCATCATCCAAAATTTTCAAACAATGTTGAGGCACTTTGCCATTTATACGTGATAGTGGCAATTGTCTATACTTCTCACCAATTTTCGATCTTGATGCCTCCAAACTATTACGAATTGCAATGATCTAGTTATCAATATGACAATGTACTCGGGCCCATACGGTATCCAAAGAACCTGTCGTTGATTCAGAATATAAAAAACATTATGATTCAAGTCATTCAAATTAGGATCCACCTAGGTAGATCCACTTAAAATTTCCGGATCCACCTAAGAAGATCCGGAAATTCTGGGCGGATGTGGAGATCCGCCTTAAATTTCCGGATCTACTTAGGTGGATCCGAAAATTTTAAGTGATCCACCTAAGTGGATCCTAATTTAGGCGGATCTTTTTTTTCAAAAATTTTAAAAAAAGGTCCGACGACTTACAGAATCCTCCGACAAAGCCTCCGGTGTCCCAACGTTGTTGTCGTCCATTGTCCTAAACCCGTCGCTAATGCTTAAGAATTTTTTTTTTAAAAAAAACTTGGATTTTTGGTGGTGGATCGAATGTGGTGGGGTCGGATGTGGAAGGGTCGGGAATTTTTTTTACCACGTGCTAGTAAGTCGGGAATGATATTATAATGCCAACATGTCCCATAAATCTATAATGGACCATTATATACTACAACTTACACACAAGGCAACATTGTCCTTCCATGTCAAAAAGGGAGCGTTTCCTTGTAAAATGGAAACGTTGTTTAACAATTTACATAATTTACCATTTATTATCACTTACGACATACGGAATATTAAATAGGTATTGATGACTAGATGTACTCTATATATTATTTGTGATAATTTCTTGATCTTTTGATAGACTCCGTAGTCTGTACACAAGAATTTTGAAAAGCTAGGACTAAAGAACCACTTTCAGAGTACTTGTGTATATATAGATGCCACACGACAATGCTTGACCACGACCAAATCATGCTAAATTGCCTGCACCCGTAGTGTGCAACAACTAGTGTCTAGTGAGAACTGAGAACGAAAGACTTGACATGCATGCATGTCATATCATATGCAGTTTACAGTGTTACTGACAAATAAAGATAAGGAGCGTGCGGGAAAACAACATTTCGAAAGTGAAGTATACAGTGCTATACATACAATAAAATGTGCCATATATTTCTTTATCAGATGAACAACAACAACAAAAAAAAAAAAAAAAAAAAAAAAAAAAAGAAAAAAAAAGTGTGATATATATTTTCATCCGATTCTTACTTAATCAAAATTATAAACTAAACTTGTTTAAACTTTGAAGGTATGCTTGGTTGAGTGTAATACAATAAATCCTTAGTTTTGGGGGAGGGGTGGCAGTGTACTTTTATCGTGGGTAAGTAGAGAGAGTCATATAAGACAATAGTGTACTCCATTCGTCCCAAAATATCTAATAAATATTTAATTATTTAAAAATAAAGTCAAACGTGTGCATTGACATGTGTACAAAGTTGACTGTGTCAGTTATTCTGGGACAGGGGGAGTATACAAATTTAATTGCAAATCTTGAATATCACCGCAGTCCTGAGATTTTGACCAATTAAGTTAGTTGAACTTTCCAAATTAGAAACCTTGTTAGGTTGTCTTAGCTTCTTAAACCTTCTTTATTGCCGGAACTAGATTGGACTAACCATATAAATAAACGTATTAACATTCGTAAAACAAGCATGAATAATGATTAATATTTGCAAAGTAAATTCAACTTTCACGGCTAGGATTTACGTTGAAAGTCTTAATATACGGAGTACATTATTTCTTGCAGTTCAATAATCCCCTCTTAGGGAAAAAAAAATGTGTAGTAGTGCATGCATGTGCATGCTCTTATCTTTTAACTATCCTCCAAGCCAGCAAGTTCATTGGTTTTTGTTTGAGAGTATTGATTTGAGTATATAAAAATATTTAATTCATTTTTTTAATCATAATTTTAATAAACAAATAAAGCAATAAAAACAAGCAATCTGATCTCGAACTATATAGTTCATGTATTAAAATCCACAAAATACTTTAATTCATGAATAAATCATTTACATAAATTGGCTAGCAACAATACCCCCTTTGGGTAGTTAATACACATACAAATTTTCTCTATAATGACAACAACTACCAAAAAAGCACTTATAATAAGTCTCTTTTAGCAGCTAAAAAACTAAGAGAAAATTGTTAGACAACCAACTAAATGGGAAATTACCAAAATAATATTTGACAAAAAATTATAAAACCTCCTTCTTCAACCCAATTAAAAAAAATCCCATGCAAATGAAAGTTTGCAAATATAGCATGGACTAGTGAGTGTCCATAGGAGATAATTTGATCCGGCGACGACGACGACAACGATAACGATAACGATTATCGAGATCGAAGAAAAAAGATACTAAGATCTTGATTAATATGACCATCAGGATCAATTAAGTGAAAAGATTCAGCATCATTCGACCCACGAACTCTTTCAAAATTTCCTCTTAAATACATAATATCATCTTCTTCACATCCAACTTCTTTACCGCTAACAACGCCGGCACCCACCACTACATCCTTCATCTTCCATAAAACCTCGGTATCGGCCTTCGATGGCCGCCTCCTTACGGAAAAACCTACCCTTCTACCATTGCAGTACATTTTCCAAACCGGCATTTCGAGAAGAGAAAAAGGGTCATTAGTACTGGGCATGGAGGAGCATTCTAAGGCGATTCGCAATACCCCGCCTCGCATTTCGCGAGCTAGAATTGTTGTAGGGACTGCTAGCTCTAGAAGAAGGATTGGGGTTGCTGCGTTCGAGTTTGTTTGAACGCAAAACTTTACTTTGCCTTTTTTGTATCCGAAGATTGTTCCTGTAAGGAAGGATGAGGATGAGGATGAGAATGAGGATGAGGACGAGGATGAGGATGCTGAGGAGGTTCTCGAATGAGTTGGTTTAGGATTATGATGGTTTTGTGTAGGTTTTTTGATTTGGTGGTTAGGTTGTTCTTGGACAAAGGTGCAATTACATGTAGGGATAAGGAGTTCCATGATGGCACGGAGGAGCCGCCACGTTCGGACTTGTTTGTGGCATTCGACGGTGGTAACGTTGGCGGCAATGTGGGTGGGGCCCATGTTCCGGTATGTGGGCATGGTGGTGGTTGTTGGTAGAGAATTTAGGTGATGTGTTTTGGTTGTTGGAGCTACTAAGAACTTTGTGTGGTACACCTATATATAGAGAAAGGGATATGAATATATGATGAGGTTAGCAATGTAAAAAAGGTTTATGTGCGTGGGTTTATGAGAATCTAGTTAGCCCACCAATGGGTAATTATTTAGTTTATCTTTTGACACTAATCACATTAATTATAATGGAATGATTCAATTAGTGAAAGAAGGTGCTAAGTTTAATTTATTCTTGATTTCAATCATTCAATTGATCATTGATTTTGATGCTTTTTTCCTTTTTATATATGTTGATGCAAAGTTGACAGTTTTTCTTTTTTAAATGTACTTAAATAAATATTTCCTAGTAATGTTTGCGTGAATGAGGTGTAAATGTCGATCAAGTGTTTTATGAATATATTCAACCTTGCTTTGCAAAGTAGGAAATTAAGTAATATTTTATATTATTTTTGGATAATACATATATATTAGGTTCATTAGGTTGAACAAATTCAACATAAAAAAAGTAGTTTTTTTAAGAAAAAATTATATATAATTCATAAGGTTATACATTGTGTACCATAAAATCATACCTGCAAATGTTATAAACCTATAATCAATCACTTTTCTTAAAGTTTTTGAATTAAAATTGGGTACTTATATCACTTTCCTAGTCAGTACATATATACTTGTGTAGCTGCATTTTTACGATTTAGAAGAAGAGGCAAGGAGAATACAAAGTACTCGTATATTTTAAAGAACATCGCTCTCTAAGACTTGCGGAGTTGAATGTGGTAGTTGTTGCTGCTTTTTGTGCATGTATGTGTTACAATAGTAGTAAACCAGTAGTGAAAGATAATTTGATACCCACTTATTGTTTAGGATTTTTATTATCTTTTTAAATCATTAATGAAATCTTGAAAGAAAAAATATAATTCTTCATCCTAAGAAGGATATGTTAAAAAATGACAACCTCTGTTTTATTTACTAGTTTTCTTTATATAAGCTTAGACTACCTTCAAATAAACATTTCCTTTTGTATTATTCATTATATAAATAAAAAATACTCCGAATAAAGAGGGTGGAAATACTTTTATACTATTATTATTTTTTGATGTAGAATGCCGTCATGTTGTAATTGCAATTTGTGAATTGATTTACGAAAATATTGAAAAAGGGTATATGTGCAATTTGTTCATCCTAGATTGCAACAATAATGAAAATGAATAATTATGGGAATGTATATAATATAACAACGACGACAACAATATAGAGAAGAAGAATCGTGGGAGTACCGTACAATTAGTCATTTCGAAAGAAAAAAAATGGTTGGAAAAATTAATGATTTAAAGACATTTTGCCACCCAAAACCCCAAAATTAAGTGTCTGTTAGTGTGTGGATATTTTTTTACACCAAAAAAAAAAAAAAAAAAATCTTCAACATTAAATAATTGGCGTTTTCTTGACGAAAGGATGTCCTATACTCCCCTCCAAATTAACACGGTGTTCCCGGAAAAGATACTCATATCATTTCAATTTTAAGAAAAACGACAATTTCTCTAAAGAAGAGAATATTAATTTAATAAAGGCATTATGGTCTACTATATGTTATTTTGGCTTATACAAATGTGGGAAATTATGAAAAAAGAAAGTTTATAAATATTTTGTGAGGGTGTAAGTTGTTGACTGGATGCTATCCAAAATATGATTTATATACGTAAATAACATAATAATTAACACGATATACCTATATATTTTCATCTGTGATGTGAATAATGAGATATTTTAAAGAGAAGGTATTGGGTGCGTACTGCTGCGTGAAAATTTCTGTGCGGCAGACTTGACTGATATATTTCACTTGTTGGCTGATATGTTTCATGTATTGACTGATATTTTCCATTTGTTAGCTGATATGGTTTTTGTGTTAGCTAATATATTCCTTTTGTTGGCTGATATGTTTTTTGTTTAATTTTTGATATATTCTTTTTGTTGGCTGCTATCAGACATCAGCTGGCTAATATATTTCTTAAGTTGGCTGATATCTTTATTTTGTTGGCTGATATATATATTTTAATTGTTGGCTTATATGTTTTATTTTGTTGGTTGATATGTTTATTTTGTTGGCTTACCTGTTGCTTTTGTTTGCTGATTTCATCCTTTTGTTGGCTGATATGCTTTATTTGTTGGCTGATATGTTCCTTCTGTTGGCTGATATATTCTTCTTATTGGCTGATATCTATCTTTTGTTGACTGATATATTCTTTTTGTTGGTTGATACGTTTTTTTTATTAATGTCTGATATGGTCCTAATGTGGACTGATATCAGACATCAATAGGCCGATATGTTCATTTGAATGGCTAATATGAATGACCTATTAGCCAAGAACCCAAAATGTATAAGGCAACAACCCAAAATAAGCCAACAACCCAAAATAAGCCAATGACACAAATGTATCAGCCAAATTCAAACTCACGCACTCCCTCTCTCTTCACCATCCCCAAAGTCACAGCACCACAGCCAACCACCAACCCACCGATCCCACCGTCCACCAAACCCACTGCACCATTCACGTACAACAACAAATCCCAATTCACCAACAATCGCACAAACCACCGGCTACTCCCCAAATGCCCAACTGCCGCCCAACCATCCACCAATCACAACCACCATCCATAATAGCCACGATTGTACGTAATTGTACCTCCCCTAGTCCCCTGCGACCTACACCTCACCAGCGAATCGCACCTCACCACCGTCCACAACAGCTGCGACCGAATTGCACCTCACCAGTGAACCGCAGCCGATTGAAGAACGCAGATTGAGGAACCCTAACAATTCAATAAGTTCTGGATTCTTCATGGCCTTTGTTCAATCGATTAAGATCCGTGAGGTATGGTCTGATAATCTTGAATATGAGTTTTGCTTGATTCGATCTTTGATCGATGATTACTCTTCGTCGCAATAGATACGGAGTTTCTTGGCGTACTTTTCCGGCAATGCTTTGAAGATCATTCAATTAGGGTTAACATTGTCGCACGAACTGTTGGGTGCGGATTGTCGCATCCAATAGTTTGTGTATTTTAAAATACAATTAATGGGAGTTGAGAAAAGGAAATTCAAACATTCTCATGCACCAAATGTTGTGATTTCATTAATTGGATATCAGCAAACAGATTCCTTCAACAAGCAAAAAGAATATGTTTTGGAAACAAATTATTCTATCTCTTCTAGTACTGGGTATATAATAATAATTTTGAAATTGAATTCATATACTAATTAGAATTTTTTCAAAGTGAATAAAGGGGAGAAAATATAAAGAAGAGAATATATAGAGTTAATTAATGTGGTTTGTTGGATGCAATGTAGACCACTAAATTATAAGCAAGTATACATAAAATTATGATAAAATTACGAACCATAAACGTAGCATTAATAGTAGATAGTAGTTCATTATTTGTTCTTCTTTTGGCTTTCTAGCTGGATTTTTCCATTCATGTTCTTTTGCTTCACCTTTAATTTTCCTTTACCACATGCTTCGACCCACTTTGTTCGATCTCCTCGTCCCTTTCCCCGCACTAAATCGATTAATTCCGTTATTATGAAAGAAAACATTCCTTATTCATATCTTATACTAGTATAAATGACCAAGGTTTGATAGAGTACATCAATCATATGGTGCACCCTTTTTACATGACTCTAGCACAACTAACCAAAAAATGTCAATAGAATGTATATTGTACTATTGTGTGAGTGTGTGACCTTGTAAATGGAAGGACTTGCTACCTTTTCACTCTTTGGTACTCTATAATGTTTAGGCACATATGGCGTGCTTTGTCTGTACGGTGAAAAATATCCCGTATTTCATCGTACAACATGGGAATGAAGATCATGAATCACTAGGAGGGATAGGAGAAGATCCATTATAAAGGGGAAAATTTAGGAAGATCTGTTCTAGCTTGAGATTGGTGAGATTTGACCCTAGCTTCATGTCATCTAAAGTCAGAGAAATAACCAATTGTTATGTTTTGGCTCCTATCTCAAAATATATGAATGTTGAAATATCTTGTTGGAGGTAAAAACCACAAATTAAAGCTTTGCCATGGGCTTTATTTTGGAAAAGTCTCTTGTCCCACAAAGAAAGATTAAAAGACATCTCCCTTGTTTATATGAAGTATATGTTTTCCTCCTCGGCAAAGGATTACTGTATACTATGCACACACACGAGTTGGCCAGGTAGGTCGTGGTGTAACGCGTTTGATTTACTTGATGTTTTTTTTTTTTTTTTTTTTTTTTTTTTTTTTTTTTTTTTTTTTTTATTGCTCCAACTAATTGGGTATCCAATTTTCCCTGTTATCAATAATAATTGCCTTATTTTATTCCAATCAGTTCTTTGTGAGTGGTATTGTGCTAATCCTAGCTAGTATATACTAAAGTGGAACATTAATTCCAAAAGAAAAAGGGTAAAAGATCTTCATCCCTAAATACTGCATTTTAGAAGGTTTGACCTTACGACCACATATAAGTTACATACTCCCATATGTGTATACATGCAATTCGGTACCCTTAAAATCTCCACAAAAATTAAGAATTGACATGAAATCAAAATACTATAGCTTAACAGATCATGTAGTATGCTCCCCATTTAAATTATTAATAATTCTTTCTTCCTTAACAATATTTGACCTGGCTTACAAAACTAATACAATAAGGCTGACTTGCATAAGTAGCGGCTTTATTGAAGCCATTTTATTATATTTAGATGGGTGTAGATAATATTATTGAAGCCATTGTTTAATTACATAATGTAAAGTTGCACCCAATAAAACGACGTGTCGACGTGCAAGTCCTAACTTTGCTTCCTTTATTTTTTATTTTTTAATTAAATCTACTTTTGAATGATGGACTATAGTTATGAAAATCTATGTTGTGCACTTTGATTTATTAATTTTTTTCATAATTATTCTTATGGTTCACATGTACTCAACTAATTTGTGTCAATAAAGATTAACTAAAATATGTAGTTGGTGGGTTGAGTAGGAAAATAAAGAGCAAATCTAAGACAAAGTATAGTGTGTTCCATCTCAGGTGTAGTTATAATGTTGTTGGGTTGCTAACATATATATAATCTTGTCTGTTTAATTTGATAATTATTACTCAATCTCTGATGCTTATTGGGGAAACACTACAGTTTGGAAGTTTTCCAACATGTCAACGTGAGAGAAAGAGAGAGAGAGGAGATTCAAAAGTCCAAAGCTAATCTCCCTATCAATAGAGCAGTTAAAAAGTGATCCGACTTGAGAAATTAATTAAGATAAATCGAAATCCAATCCAACTTTATTATATTTAAGAAATTGATTCAAACCAATCTGATGTTAACCAACTATTTAGTTAGTCGATGAAATTAAGATCTAAACCGATCCGTAACCAACCTAAAAATATCTAGACACACGGGATTTGAATTTACAAACTTTAAATCAGACTGAATATGCATCTAACCCAATAACAACCAATTACCCAATTCAACCCAATGAAAATGCATATGACGTGATTGTTAAAACCCGACTTTAAAATAATGTTAGGGCTATACAAATCAATTTTGACATTTAAGTTCCTCAAATCATACTGGTGTTATAATGTTATGGGCTATTGGCCTTAAAAACTACCTTTCTTGGCTATATGTTTAATTTACTACAGTAGTACAGTTTATGGGCCATGTGAATTATTTGGATAATATCATAATAAAAGATTTGGATTAGTAAACTAAACATATGATCCAAATAATTCACGTTATCGATCCGAATCCGAACCAAATATCCAATTTGACAACTCTACCTCACAAAGTCTCAATCTCTCATATGTCTCATTTAATAATGAAATTCATTGGCCCAATAGCATCTAGAGTTTAACAAATTGGTTGAACTTTTTTGATGTGCCTTCTCTCTTGGGCTTGTTTAGTTTGTGCTTAAGGGATCAAAGAGATGAATTAAACAATTTAAACATGTAAAAAAGATTGTTATGACCACATATTTAGCCAGTGCCTACCTGGTTAATTGGGTGGATAGGATTTGGTCTTACCAAAGTCGCCTTGCAATTGACCAACTTGGGCCGGGCTTTACGAGAAAACTGTGAGCAGGCCGGTAGTCCACATGTAAAATGACTTCTTGTTTTGGTTAATTTAATGAATATATAATACTTCCTCCGTTTTAGTAATATTACAACAGCTGGATTTTTGCACTATTTATCATGCTTGTTTGATCACATATTATGCTTTATATATTAAGTAAAATATATTCATATGAGACCTTGTTAAATTCGTCTCGTAAAATACTTACACAATATCAGCTTTTTATAATTTTTACTCATATAGAATTATACATATTTAACATATAAAATGTGTTTTGGGATGCGTAATTTCATCTTTGTTGCATTATTAATGGAACGGAGGAAGTACTAGATTAGGGTCAATTTGAAAGACAATTTTTTACACCCTACTTTGCCTATTTATTGTAATTTTTATACAAGGATAAATTTAGTATTGTGAGGTCTTGTAAATTTTGTCTTGATATTAATATACAAACTAGTAATGTCCAAGATTATTTACATGTGTCACGTTGGCTCTGATACCATATTAAAGGACCTACTCAATTAAAAGCTTAAGCTGATAATTGAGGCCTAGAAATATATTTTATACTCTATCAAATATTATTTCTAAAAAATTTAGATTTATATTTTTATTTAGAGATATTTTTTTACTTGTAATATTTTTCATTTCACACTTGTCAATGCTTTATTTAACCACTTATATTATAATTATTATTTTTACAATTATACAAAAATTTAAATTATGAAATATTGAAAATATAATTTGAGACGAATATGACAAAATTCACAAATATATTTTCCTTAATTATAATCATCAAAGCAAGTAAAAGTGAATTATATACAAGTTAAACTTGGTTTTGTGAAAAAGATTACACCTTGTAATTTTAAGGTTGGAGGTTCAATCCCATTAAAGACACTTTAAGGGTGGAGATCCATTACATTTCCGGATTTCCCCCTCATTTTCAACGTGTCTAACCCGCAAATATTGGATAAAAAAAAACTATGATGGTTGAGGTCTTATCACAATCCGTCTTCTTACCCAAAATAAAAAGGTAAAGTGAATTATATATAGTATAAATAGTGAAAACGTCAAAACGTTACAAGTAGATTAATTGTTTAAAGTAATTAAATATATTAATGGTTAATAAATTTGTGTATTAACAAACGTAAAACTTTAAATACTTAATTAAGGATTTTTAAAATGATTTTTATGGGGGTAAAATACAAGATTTCTTTTTTTATATGGTATAATTATGAGAGTATAGAAGTAGTAAGAGTGGAACGAAGATGTATATGTATCAACAAATGAAAAATCAACATTCATACAAGTATTTTATAAATAGAGGTGCAGCGTGGAAGCATTATATAACATCAATCATATTTTCAAAAGAGTGCGTGACTTGGAAGCATCCTTCTTACCCAAAATACACTATCTTGGAAGCAAACTCGTGAACTAATTTATAAAGCAGTTTATCCCATTTAAGTATTTAAAAACCTTGATTAAATAAACTTATTAAAAAGACCATGCAATGAACATTGAACAACCCTTCTAAAAGAGCAAATGTCATCTTCACTCCATTTCTCACCCTTTTCCTTTATTTCAAAATATTCCATCTTTTTCTTCTACTAATGGCAGCTGCGGTCCTCTTCAAATATGAACTACAACATTTAGTCCTCCCTTCTTAGGCATTATTCATGTGTTGTCACACCATAACCATCACAATTAAAAGTAGATGTTTCGAAGCATCAAGCTAGAACGTTTAGCCAACTATCCGATCATACAGGTAGGTTATATAAGATCAATAATCTTATTACAAAAGGATATTTCTTATTCGATCTTCATTTTAATATCTCATTGGAACCTTCATCTTACATCAACAAAATAGAAAAACATGCATGGTTGAATTTAGAATAGATTGATACATGACTACATGTAATAAAATATTAGTCAATAAATTCGAGATTTATCTAGAAAGTCAATTTTCAACTCCCATACATATCCGATAAAGTCAATCCTCCAATTCTCCTTATAATAAATCACTCGCATCACCGCCGTCGGATTAATCACAAAAAAGCCGCCTATCAAAATCTTCCTCACTTATTACGTCATCACATGCCAAAGCAAAGACTCCTTTGGACCCCACTTTCTTCCTTCCCACGACAACTCCTACCCTTCTTTAAAAACTTTAATGTTTTTAGTAACACTTAAAAATAAAAATACCCAAAAAAAAAAAAAAAAAAAACTATTTTCTCTCTTTCCAAATGAAGACCCGCCATTGCTGCACTACCAACAACCTCTATACTATTATTTCATTTCTGTTAATCCTCCTAATGATACCGACACGTGCGGTGTATGCGCAACAATCGTCAAATTCACCGGATAACGATTATAATGGGTTGGACAATAGTAGAGTAAGCCCATCAATGGCTCTAATTGTGATTGTTTTAGTCCTTGGGTTTTTCATCACCGGATGTATTTCCATCTATATCCAACAATGTTCCAATAATAGTACGGGCGATACGACCACTATCGCCCGAAACGGTAACATAGTAAGAATTAACCAACGGGGACTTGACCGATCCGTGATCGACACGTTCCCGACATTTTTATACTCTGATGTAAAGGAGTTGAAGATCGGTAAAGGGTCACTCGAGTGCGCGGTTTGTCTTAATGAGTTCGAAAAGGATGAAACGCTGCGTTTGCTACCGAAATGTGATCATGTTTTTCATCCTGAGTGTATTGACGCTTGGCTTATTGCTCATACTACTTGCCCGGTTTGCCGAGCTGAGCTTGTTCCTGACGCACACGAGTCGTCGAGTGAGGATAATCCTCACTTGGCGGAAGGTGAGTCTAGAACGACGAGCTATGAAGTGGAGATTACGGTTCTACCTATGCCACCGAAGGGGAGAGTGCCGAGATCGCACTCAACGGGTCACTCACTGGTTCGATCGAGTGAGGATCATGAGCGGTTTACGCTTCGGTTACCGGATGAGGTTCGGAAGCAGTTGATGGTGGCTAGGCCGAAGCTGAACCGGTCAGCTAGCTTGGTGGTTTTGCCTCGGGTGTCGAGTTCACGACGGGGGTATCGAAATGGTGGCGGAGAAGGTAGTGGAAGTAGTCGTTACGGACGATTTTTCGGGCATTCGTTTAGGTGGACATCGAAAAAATAACGGTGGTGACAGAGATTTAGGTTCGGGGTCTAAGAGGTTTTATGGCACGGTTGTAACACCGGTAGAGGGTTTGCCTCGGCTTCCTGTTTGAGTGTTAGCTAGACCTTAGACCCCTTTTCATAATTCGATAATTGTATATTATTGTTTATTTATTTTACTATAGGGTTAGTTAATTTCCCAAGTTACATTAGTTAATCTATTTCTTTCATGGTGAGGTGTAAATTTAATCTGTATAGAATATAATTATTGTTCATTTCATTGGGACAAATGAATTATTAGAAAATGTTGTATATACTACCATGTTAGAATAATGTACAATGAGTGTGATCCAAACTACTCTATAATTTGAGTAAATTATACGGAGCGAGTAGTGGAGGAGCACAAGTTTTAATTAGTGTGAATTGTATACATCGATAATACATATAGTATCAACCTTATCTTATTATAATTGTAATCGTTGTTATGATGTCTGTTACGAAATTTACCATGTCATTTTCAATGACATAAAACCAACTCAACAACTCATAATTGTTAGAAAATACTATGCAAATTTCCTTTAGAATCAGATTAGTGGGAATAAAAAATATATTTGAATAATACAAATAAATGAACAAATATTTGTATCCCTAATTATGCTGCAAAATTTATTGAAAAAGATAAATAATACACAAGTGTTCACAACACTTATTATAACTCACAACCATATACACTCGAGACTTTTCTCTAAAAAATTCTCTTAAAGCTTCTCTCTCTACTTTATGTTTTCTTTTGTTTTTGGGATGAATATAACAAATCATAACTTAAGTTTATACAGATCCTATATTCTAAATATGACTTCTTAAATTTAGAAAATATTTTCTCCTTCACATTTCGTAGGAAATCATTCACGTATTGCTAAGAAATTCTAAGGCTTATATTTGTTTTCCGTTTTTAAATTGTAGTGATATTAACAATAATACGGATTATCTATTACAATAATTAATACGAAATACTACACATTTTTGGCAAAGAGCAAGCCAAGTCCCGGGTAGGCTCCCTTGGATCCGCCCATGCACTTGACATGCATTGATATATATAATTGATTAGTCATTTATTAAATAATCACACATTAAATTTGGGAGGACTTTTAAAAAGCACCCCAAACAAATAACATTAAATTTTCGGTTAAATTGAGAAATCATGTACACCGCAACCAACTCTGAAGGATATTTATATAATTATATTGCTCTCAACATAATAATAATAATAATAATAATAATAATAATAATAATAATAATAATAATTATTATTATTATTATTATTATTATTATTATTATTATTTTTTTTTTTTTTTTTTTTTTTTTTTTTTTTTTTTTTTGTGAGTTTGTTTACTTGCAATGTTTTCATTTTATATAAAATTGACATATTATTTGCAAAATACTCATTAAGGAAATTGAGTATGTATCAATCTTTTGATTGCGATGATTAAGCACCTTAATTCTTGACTTCTTGTTAGTTAATTTGACATTCGTCATTGTAATTAAAAGATACTCCGTAAGGTAAAAGAAAACAATGGTAAGAAAATATAATAGTTGTTCTCCTATTCTCCCTTTGTCCAACACCAGTTTCAAAAAAAATAGAAATACTTGCACACAATCTGATTTTATGGAATATTTTTGTCAATGTTTTGTAACACATACAATACATGACCTACCTGCATTTGACCTAAATGTTTGTGGGTGAAGAAATTCGGCTTTCATATGAATATAAGGAATACTCTGGATACTATGTATTAAAAATCAAATAAAAGATACAATGTAACTTGAAGTTTACTATGCAGGGGATACTTATACACAGTTTGTAAGAAGCATGTCCCTAGTCAATTGTAACTCTCTGATAGCATCTTTGATTCTCATGCGATCTTGTGGTGTTTCCACCGAACATTTTACTCCGATTTCAATGAGAGACTTCAAGCACTTCATTTTAGTGCTTTCATTTCCTACCAACTTTTGGTCTTCGTTTTTATTGCTTGCACTAGTACCATCAATTAGAAGCCTTGGATCAATTATGTTTATCAGATGCTCAGACAACGCCGATTTTGCGAAATTATGCATGTCTAAACCTTCCTCAAACATCCTATCAGTAGGAGTTTTTGTAGTCATCATCTCTATCAACACAATGCCGTAACTGTAAACGTCACCTTCCTTAGATACCTTGCTTCCTAGGCCATACTCTGTCCAAAACAGAACATTTTAGAGGTGAGAATAGAATTCCGAAAATTAACTCATGAAATTTAGTGCTTAAGCGTTATAGTTATTGTTATTACCTGGAGCAACATAACCAGTTGTCCCTTTAACAGCTACTGAGCTACTATTATTTGCAGTTGTATCGAAATAAATTCTTGCTGATCCAAAGTCTCCAATATGAGCAACCATATCACTGTTGAGCAGAATGTTGCTTGGTTTTAGATCACAATGAATTATAGGCACGTCGTAGCTGCTATGCAAATAATCTAGTGCACATGCCACATCAATTGCGATGTTTACTCTTTGTAGGAGGCTTAAAGATTTCTCATGTTGATCGGTGTGAATCCATTGTTGAAGATTCCCATTTGGCATGAACTCGTAAACCAATGCCTTGAAATCATTACCTTGGAAGTCAGTACTCGAGCAAGCAGTGACAATCTTAAGAAGGTTCCTATGACGGATATTTCTCAATGCTTCACACTCAGCCATGAAACTCTTCGTAGCTGATTCCATTTCAAGATTGATTACTTTAACAGCCACAACCATACTGCCCTCTATATCAAGAACTCCTTTATAAACAGAACCAAAATGGCCAGCACCAAGTAAATTTGCTTCTGAGAAATTGTCTGTTGCTTGTAGAAGCATGGCGTATGATACTCTAGAGAAGTGCTCCGCATTATACAATGATGTATGAGACAGTTTATCGGATTTCCTCCTCGTACAAAGCAGGAAGTATACTGATACCACTATCGATACACCAACGATCAACGAAGCCACTGTAATAATCAAGATCACTGTTGTGCGACAGCGGAAGCAAAGGTCGAAAACAAACAAGAAAACAATAAAGAAATTCAATGCAAACAATAAGAACAACACCAAGAATTTACGTGGTTCACTATCGATGTGATAGCTACGTCCACGGGCACCGAGATCGAATGATTTCACTATAAACTGCAAAGATTACAAAGATGATTCTTGTATTTCTCAAGAACGGCTTTCACTCTGTCTCTCTTAACCCTAATACTGATATTAGGGAGGTTTTATATTAATCCCTAATTAAAAGATACTTGGGCAAAAAGATAATAAAATAAGATAACCTAAAACCGCAAAATCCGCGTTCCGTATTTTTCCTTCTCCGCCCGGTCAGACCGGGCAAGGTCTGCCCGATCGGGCGCGAGAAGAAAACTCCATACGAATGCTTCAACGTATCCAACCCCCACCGCCCGGTCAGACCGGGCAAGGTCTGCCCGATCGGGCGAAGGCTCGCCCGGTCGGGCGAAGGCTCGCCCGGTCGGGCGAAGGCTCGCCCGGTCGGGCGCGAGAGCAGCTTCTTCAACGAATTTGCCAGGCACCTCTTCTTCTTCCGCCCGGTCAGACCGGGCAATGTCCGCCCGATCGGGCGGACAAAGCTACGAAGTACGAGTCACCTAATATACTTATCAACAATCTCCACCTTGACGAGAACTCGTAGTCAGCAAACGACCCCATCAAGACATAGTGAAAAAACATCTCAAGCCAAACCCGATGCAGGACTCATGCATAAGCCATACATCCCGATAAGTCTTCAACCAAGACCCATCACATACTCGTCTCCAAGTATAACAACTCATAATGCTCCACCTGCATCACAAGCCCCGGGCAAGCTCCACCTTAATGCCAACACACCTACACCAGGAGCTCCCCAACTTCGCCCCTCAGGGCCTACTACATCACGTAGTAATCAATATTTAGCAAGTCTAAGCAATGTTTAAACTTGCTAAACGGAACAGGCTTAGTGAAGAAATCAGCCGGGTTGTCAGCAGTCCCAATCTTCTTCACCTTAATCCTCTTGTCAGTACGCAAGAAATGATACCTGACATCAATGTGCTTCGTCCGATCATGGTGTACTTGATCTTTAGCTAAGCAAATCGCACTTAGACTATCACAATATACTGTAGCAAAATCCTGTGCAATACCCAGTTCACCTACTAGGCCTTTGAGCCAAATAGACTCCTTAGCTGCAGAAGTTAAAGCCATATACTCAGCTTCAGTAGTTGACAACGTAACTGATGACTGCAATGTAGACTTCCAACTAACCACAGAACCACCCAAAGTGAACACATAACCAGTCACAGACCTCCTGGTATCCACATCAGCTGCATAATCAGAATCACTGTACCCAGTGACCAAGCATTCCCTACCATTCCCGTACACAAGACCAATATCAGTTGTCCCTCTCAGGTAGCGAAAAATCCTTTTCACCCCTTGCCAGTGTTCCCTCCCAGGTCGAGCCATAAACCTGCTTACAACACTAACAGCATGCGCAATATCCGGCCTAGTACAGACCATAGCATACATCAAACAACCAACCGCGTTTGCATATGGAACTCTAGACATATAAGACAACTCCTCCTCTGATTGAGGTGACATAGACAAAGACAACTTACAACTAACAGTAGTTGGCGTACTTATAGGCTTCGATTTTTCCATCCCAAAACGAGACAAAATCTTTTCAATGTAGCTTTTCTGAGTCAAGAAAAGCTTACCTCTAGCCCGATCCCTGTAGATCTCCATACCCAAAATCTTCCTAGCTGCACCCAAGTCTTTCATGTCAAACTCCGAGTTAAGCATCTCCTTTAATCTAGCAATATCAGATTTATTCTTTGTGGCAACCAACATGTCATCAACATATAACAAAAGATAAATCATGGAACCATTATCCAGCTTACTATGATACACACAGCAATCATATGAATTCCTGTCAAAACCTTGTGAAACCATAAAAGAATCAAACCTTTTGTACCACTGTCGGGGGGATTGCTTAAGTCCATACAATGACTTTAGCAATCTGCAGGCATAGTGTTCCTTTCCAGGAACTTCGAATCCTTCGGGCTGCTTCATCAGAATCTCCTCCTCCAAATCGCCATGAAGGAAAGCCGTTTTAACATCCAACTGCTCCAGCTCAAGATCAAAATGTGCTACAATTGACAATAACACACGGATAGAAGTATGTCGAACCACAGGTGAGAATATCTCAACAAAATCAACCCCTTCTACCTGACTGAACCCCTTAGCAACTAGCCTAGCCTTAAAACGTATTTGCTCAGTTTCCGACAACCCTTCTTTCTTCTTGTAAATCCATTTACAACCCACAAGCTTCCTCCCTTCCGGTACCTTTACCAGTTCCCACACTCTGTTCTTGTAAAGAGACTGCATCTCTTCACCCATTGCGGCAAGCCATTGCGCAGACTCACTACAACTAATTGCTTGTTTATATGTGGCAGGTTCAAATGACTCTACATCATCAGCTACACTCAATGCATAACCTGTCATCGCATCAACACAGCAATTTCTTCCCTCCATCTCTTCAATCAATCTAACAGGCTTCTTGATAACTCGTTTAGGCATCTCAAGAATGGTGTCAGGTTGACTAGATGACCCCTGATTAGATTGCTCCACCTCATCCCCAGAGTTAGAATGAGTAGGAGTAATCTCAGGTTCAGGAGTACCCGGCACTGGAACATCAGCATCATCATCAATATATTGTACCCGAGGTAAATCAGCAATGGTAGACTGATGTACCTCAAGTACCCCATCTGTCTGTAATAAATTGTCTCCTTCCCTTCTCAAATCTGAAATCTCTGCATTTTTAATTGAATACATGGTGTTTTCATCGAAAGTAACATCCCTACTAAGAATGACCCGACCCTCCGAAGGTGAAAAAATTCTAAACCCCTTCACACCATCCCCGTACCCAACAAAACACCCCTTCTTGGCTCGTGGATCCAGCTTACCCTCAATAACATGATAATAAGCAACACAACCAAAAATCTTCAAATTCGAAAAATTAGGCAACTTACCACTCCAGATCTCAAACGGAATCTTGGAATCAATTCCAGAATGAGGACCCCTATTAATGACATAACAAGCTGTTAACACAGCTTCACTCCAGTACCTCCTCCCAAGCCCTGCATTAGAGAGCATGCATCGGACTCTCTCTAGCAGTGTCTGATTAACCCGTTCTGCTACACCGTTCTGCTGTGGTGTCTTCCTGACAGTATGATGCCGACCTATACCCTCATCTGCACAGAACTGATTAAACTCGTCTTTGCAAAACTCTAGCCCATTGTCCGTTCGTAGCTTCTTGATCTTCCTTCCTTGTCGATTTTCCACCAAAGCTTTCCATTGCTTGAAAACTTTGAAGGCCTCATCCTTTGACTTAAGCAACCTAAGCCATGTGTATCGGGACTTGTCATCAACAAATGACACAAAATAGTGGTAACCTCCCATACCTTCAACTCTAGATGGACCCCAGCAATCTGAATGGATGTAATCGAGCACTGCATCAGTAATGTGAGCACCCTTGCTGAACTTTGACCTGTGTTTCTTACCAAACACACAATGCTCACAAAATTCAAGGTTGGCAACCTTGACCCCGGATAGAAGACCCCTCTTGGACAATAGCTGCATCCCCTTCTCCCCCATATGACCAAGCCTCATGTGCCAAATCTTAGTCATCTCCTGGTGAGATACAGATGCGCAAACCGCAGAACTAGGCAGTGTAACACCCTCAAAAACATAGAGGGTGTTCCTTTTGATACCCTTAAGTACCAACTCAGAACCTCTGAAAATACACAACTCCCCATCTGAAAACACACCATTGTACCCCAATTCATCCAGGGTACCCAATGAAATCAGATTCTTTCCTAAAGCAGGAACATGCCGTACATTAGTCAAAGTTAACCTCCGCCCATCAACAGTCCTCAACCTCATGGAACCAATACCTGTGACCTTACATGGAGCATTGTTACCGACTATAACCATACCCCCATTGCGAGGTTCATATGTATCAAACCAATCTCGACGTGGACACATATGGAACGAACACCCCGAATCTAGAACCCAGTTATCAGATAAATCATCAGACCTAGCAGAACTGACTAATGCTAAATCTTCCTCTGAATTATAGCTCTCATTCGGTTTCTCTTCAACTACAGCAGCCTGGGACTTGTTTTTCCTCACCGGACAATTATTCCTAAAGTGACCCGGTTCTTTACAGTAATAACATGTTTTAGTAGTAGTTTTACTAGATCCATCCTTGCCGTTTCCAGCACCCGACCCAGCATTGTTCCCCTTGTTAAACCCCTTATTCTTTTTAGACTTTCCGGACTTAACAAACAACCCACTACCATTATCCCCATTATCACTCGTAGCTTTCATTCTGAGTTCCCTAGTATGAAGTGCTGCCTTCACTTCTTCTAAGGTTATAGAATCCTTACCAACAACAAAAGACTCTACAAAATTCTCAAAGCTAGACGGTAGAGATACAAGTAAAATCAACGCAGCATCCTCATCATCAATTTTAACATCTAAATTACGTAAATCAAGCAAAATAGAGTTAAGTTTTTCTAGATGTTCCCGTAAGGAAGTACCTGACTGCATCCGGAGGCTAAACAACCGCTGTTTCAGTAATAATTTGTTGGTCAACGACTTAGTCATATACAATGACTCCAGCTTCAGCCACAATCCAGCCGCCGTTTCCTGATCAGCAACCTCCGTGATGATTTGATCATCAAGACTAAGTAATATGGTAGAGTGTGCCTTCTCTTCCATAACTTCTAACTGCGAGTCAGTCGGTCCGTCTCCTGACTCCGAAGTAGTACTCTTTGGAGCCAACGGACGCCATATCTGCTGTTGTTTTAACAGAGCCTTCATCTTAATTTGCCATAGCCCGAAACTATTTTTCCCGGTAAACTTCTCAATTCTTATTGTTGAATCTCCTGCCATTGTTATCTTCAAGAAACTCTCCAAGGATTGAACCTGAGCTCTTGATACCAATTGTTGTGCGACAGCGGAAGCAAAGGTCGTAAACAAACAAGAAAACAATAAAGAAATTCAATGCAAACAATAAGAACAACACCAAGAATTTACGTGGTTCACTATCGATGTGATAGCTACGTCCACGGGCACCGAGATCGAATGATTTCACTATAAACTGCAAAGATTACAAAGATGATTCTTGTATTTCTCAAGAACGGCTTTCACTCTGTCTCTCTTAACCCTAATACTGATATTAGGGAGGTTTTATATTAATCCCTAATTAAAAGATACTTGGGCAAAAAGATAATAAAATAAGATAACCTAAAACCGCAAAATCCGCGTTCCGTATTTTTCCTTCTCCGCCCGGTCAGACCGGGCAAGGTCTGCCCGATCGGGCGCGAGAAGAAAACTCCATACGAATGCTTCAACGTATCCAACCCCCACCGCCCGGTCAGACCGGGCAAGGTCTGCCCGATCGGGCGAAGGCTCGCCCGGTCGGGCGAAGGCTCGCCCGGTCGGGCGAAGGCTCGCCCGGTCGGGCGCGAGAGCAGCTTCTTCAACGAATTTGCCAGGCACCTCTTCTTCTTCCGCCCGGTCAGACCGGGCAATGTCCGCCCGATCGGGCGGACAAAGCTACGAAGTACGAGTCACCTAATATACTTATCAACAATCACAGCAACGGAGAATCTACCCCTTCTATTTGATTCTCTTTTCGGACATCTAGGCAAACGTATCTCAGAAATCCCACCACAAAGTTTCCTATTCCCTTCGACTATAATGGCACTAGAGTTGGCAAAAATCCCAATTCTAGGGACCTCTCCCTCAAATTCATTATAAGATAAATCTAATGTCATCAATGAAAGGTTAGTCAAAAAATTCGGAATTAGGCCAGATAATTTGTTACGAGGTAGTTGCAAGTAATTCAAACTAGTTAAAGACTCCAGTGAAATTGTTCCCTCCCATAAATAGTCCAACAAGGCTAATGCAACTACCGAGGCTACTAGGGAGCTTGCCGGATAAGGCATTTTCTGATACGTCGAATGCCACTAAATTTGTCAGTTGAGCAATATCCACCGGGATACCTCCTAGTAGGCGGTTTTGGTGCAAATTTAGTTCAACTATCATCGAAGCATGGAATAGATGAGGAGGCAGAGCTCCAGTGAGGTTGTTTTGATTAAGTGACACATAATAAATTTGTACAGTTTCCTAGACTTGAGGGTATCATACCTTCAAAGTTATTATAGCCCATGTACAACCAACTCAATCGTGATAAATTTCCTAACGAGTAAGGGACAGGTCCATGGAGATTATTATTCATACAGTTAAAGGCTTGTAATTTTGTTAACCTTGTTCCTATTAGTGGTGAAAGATGTCCGGTTAGTCGATTTCCTTGGAGACTTAACCGCTCTAAGTTTACGAGGTTGAACAATCCTGTGGGAATGGTTCCGAAGATTTGATTTAGTCCAAAGTCTAACTCGGTCATATTAGAGGACAAGTTACCTAGAAAATCTGGCAAAATCCCACAAAAATTATTGGAACTTAATTGCAAAAATTGTAAATGGCTACAATTTACAAGAGTTTGTAGAAAACTTAAGTCCCCCACTTCTCCTGTCCCTAAATTGTTGGAGGAGACATCTAAGCTTTCCAAATTAGGCATATTTTTGGCACTAAATATGAATTTTCCAGTGAAGTTGTTAGAGTAGACACTTAAGTCCACAAGCTGAGTAAGGTTTGAGAGAGAAGCCGGGAGATTTCCATGGAAGGAATTATTAGCTATGTGGAATATGGTGAGCTGAGGAAGTCGAAACCCGATATCCGGGGGAAGAGTTCCATGAAGTTGATTAAGGCTCAAATCTAGGACTTGAAGGTTAGAAAGATTGTAAAAGGAAGGAGGAATAGTACCTGAAATTTTATTTTCTCCAATACTAAAGAAAGTTAAATTTTTTAGTATTGCTCCAATATTGTGCGGAATGCTTCCTTCAAAGGAGTTGAATGATGCAGACAGTTGTCGCAAAGATGTCAAATTCATAACGACTTTGTTGAGAAGATCACCCATGAGTTGGTTTTTATAAAGTGATAAAACCTCTAAGCAAGATAGGAGGCTCAGTTGAGATGGAATGATTCCTGTTAGCCGGTTGCCTCCTATACAAAGTGTCTTGAGGTTCAAGCATTGAGATATGTTGGCCGGGATTTGGCCTTCAAAGGTGTTTTTTTTCTAAAGCTAGGTACCTTAAACTTGTGAGATGACCTATTTGAGGCGGTATATATCCTCCAATAGTATTATTGGCTAAGGAAATATTGTATAAGAAGCTCAAGTTGCCAACATAAGGTGATAGAGTTCCCACCAAATTGTTGTGTTCAAGATTTAAGCCAACGACTCGATGAGGATGCTTGGTGCCACAAGTGACACCATGCCACTCGCAAATCGAAAGGGAGTCGGTCCAAGAGTTTAAAACTCCTTGAGGGTCATGAGTAATTTGAGATTTAATGGCTAAGAGCGCAACACGGTCCTCACTATTTGACAAGACCGAGCAGAAAAGGCTTAAGAAAAGGATGATTATAATGAATATAGATGGGCAGATGATATTCATGGCTCTAAATCTCTAATATATCACAAGTGAAGGCTATTTGATGTGTTTTTATAGTACCTAGCTTGGTGTTTTATGGTATCAAAATGCATAATGGACGAAATTCAAAGAGCAATTAAACACGACGATTAATTTACAGAATGTTGACTAGGACGTGGTTGGTAAAGTAAATGCAACAACACTTTATTGTTAATTAACAAAGATGACTTTATAAAAGGAAGGTAATACAATTCACATTATAGGATTATAATAAATGTACAGATTAACTTCGTTTTCATTGTATGGACATAGAGAAATCATGATCTAAATTTTTCTTTAGTATACGACTAATACGAGAGATTGAAAGGTAAGTTTACTTTCTTTTCTCTATTTATTTTCTTTCCTAGCTGCCTTTACACACTGGGTTGAGCGAGGTTACCATTTTGCCAATAGTAATTTTGTACTTGTATAGTCATACATTGGTTGGTGATGTAATTTAATTAATACGAAGTAACATTTTTTTTTTTCAGGATTCAGAAAAGATAGCTAGCTAGTGATATTAGTAAATGAAATTCTATCTCAAAGTTTTGGGATGATACCCAAGACTTTGACTAGCTACGATAGTAATGGGCTATGGACATTATGAGGCCCATTGTTAAACCCAAAATTTGGCAAATTTTTAGCTAGGGTCGCGCCCAGCTAGCACCACCTAGAGTCGCGCAACATAAATGAACATTTACTAGAATGAACATTAATAATATAAGAGTAATATAAAGAAACTATGAAACTGAAAAAAGGATTGTTCATCTAATATTATATAACTGAACATTTCAGTTGTAAATAAAAATAAACATATAATAATGTTATTGCTTATTCATCAACATTTTTTTTAAGTTTCAAGTGAAATACCTCGATTTGTTCAAGTCTCTTGAATGGATATCTTGCAATTCACTGAAGTATATGATTTAATACCAATTAAATAAATCAACAATATGTTTTTTAATAAAGAACAATATGCTAATGTCTAACATTATTAATGCATATGTTAATTAAATATCCTTTACTATAAAAACGAACATTTTATACAACTGAACAAACACAAAAAAATTTATTAATTAAAAAAGAAAATGAACATGTATTTTATAAGAATGAACAACATACAACATGAAAATGAACATTTATTTTATAAGAATGAACATCATACTGCATGAAAATGAACATTTGATTATTGAGAAATACGAAATTATTGTAAAATATGTTCAGTTAGAAAATGTTCATATTTTATGTTAAATGTTCATTTTGATGGCGACCTCATAAATGTGTAGCTGAGCTCAACCTCAACTATAACGATTAGAAATTTTGGATTTGACTTGGACCATTGGGTGATTTTAATCAATGTTTAAAGCCCATCCTCCTCAAAGGCCCATCTGTTCAGACCATTCTAAATATTCTTTTACGGGCCATCTGCCCATCTTGTATAAAGTATGTCCAATATGATGATGAATATTGAATAGAAAAGTCCAATAAGATGATAAATATTGAATAGTATATTGAGAAGGGAGTACCTAGTTATTGCTACATTGCCTTTTCAATTAAATTGAGGTTTTATAATTGATATGGAGATTGGAGAAGTAAAGTTCTGATTCTCTGATCTCTTCAATAAGATTGACCGAGCTTTAAAGTCGCTTTTTATGTGATTCAATAATCTTTATAATTTGTTATTTTGATGTTGTTCTATGTTACAATTGGAAATTTTAATCACCACAATACTCGTTATTGATAATTTCATTAATTTTTTACTCATCAACCCCACTCTTTAAAAAAATTAAAGAAAGATAAGGTATTGGGTGCGGCAAGTCGCATCAAACAATTAGTGCGTCAAATATATATGATATGCAATTTGATATAGAATATGTATTATTTGATAGAGGATATGTACAACTTGTTGGAGGATATGTGTTATTTGATAGAAGATAGGTACAGTTTTTGTAGGATATATATTGTTTGTTATAGAATATGTAGTATTTGATAGAGGATATGATGTAGTATTTAGTATAGGACATGTGTTAGTAGATAGAGGATACGTACAGTTTATTAAAGGATATGTAGTATTTGATGGAGGATATGTAGTATTTGATAGAGGATATGTAAAATTTGTTGGAGGATATGTGTTACTTAATAGAGGATATGTAAAGTTTGTTGGAGGAATATTATTTGATAGAGGATATGTACAATATGTTGGCTTACTTGTTGCTTTTGTTTCCTGATTTCATCCTTTTGTTGGTTGATATGCTTCATTTGTTGGTTGATATGTTCAATCTGTTAGCTGATATCTATCTTTTGTTGGCTGATATGTTCCTTTTGTTGACTGATATGCTTCATTTGTTAGCTGATATACATAATATCATATCCTGTTATAGAGGATATCATCCAACTTATAGATAATATCATCATCCAACTTATAGATGATATCATCCAACTTATTATAGATGATATAATCTAGACAATCGAATTTATTTTATAAAAATAATTAAAAGGTCAACAATGGCGGAACCACCATTGAAGGCCTCGTACTAAGCTCATGGGTATAACATAACATGCTCATTTCTCAACTAAAATACATGCATTGTTATCAAAATGCTCACAATTCAACATACAATCACATAGGGCAATCAATTTCAACAATTATACATCACACAAGAAAGCCCTAAATTGATTTTTTTGGCAATTTTCAAAATATCCGAGAATCTCAAGCAATTATCAAGCCAATTTAAGCATAAATCATGGTCAAATATAATGAACAATCAACGAGCTTCTCCCCGTCGACGATAGTACCGCTAATAACAACGCCGCCGATGGGAGCGATCATTGGTATAAAGCAAAAACCCGCTGGACTGACGAAACATTTAATCAAGCTGAACTGACGTAATAATGTGTTAAAGAAATAACAAATCTTAGAGCAAACAATAACAAGTAACTTGACTTTTTGAGGTGCCATTAAACGTTTTTTCAATGGAGTCAAAATCATATAAACACGTAATCAAATGATTATAGGGACAAAATTATTTTATTTTGGAAGTTTCAAAACACCATAGCAAAGTCAAGTCTTTGTTCTTTAGTACTGAATCCAAGTCGAATGGCACAAAATAGAAAAATGCAAACCACCACAAAAAATGTAGATAGAATTATTATGGTGGTAATAATCTACAATTTGGTGATCCTTTTGACGACTTTCATATCAGTAACAAAAGCAATTGAGATTTCAGGAAACTGCAGTAGCAGATCATGTTTAGGAACAAAAGTACAGTACCCTTTCGGATTCTCCGAAAATTGCGAGTTTCAGTTGGACTGCAAATCCAACGGTAGAATGTTTTTCAAAGGTTATGATATACGAAGCATAACAAGATGGAAGTCCATCATACTCAATTTCCCTCCAAATTGCAGCCGTTCGATAACTGAAATCCGACATCTTTTCGGGAAAAACTACGCTTTAACCAATCTCAACGGTCTACTTTTACAGAACTGCGCCAAGCCTTTTATAGGGTGCATGATTCCACCGAGCTTGTTGGAGAGCAGGCTCGCATTTTGTGGTTCGAAGAGTGAGAACATGAGCTGTTATGATTCGAAGAATGGTACTTTAGAAGGTGAAATTTTGAGGTACGAGGATGTCACTGACAGTCGATGTAATTTATTGTATTCATCGATTGTTGTAGACAGTTTTGTCTCCGGAGGGAATCCTGATGATACATGGCTTGAGCTCGAGGCGGTTCAGGTCAGTTGGTGGATTAATGGGGAGTGCCGGTGTCATGAAAAGGCTCGTTGTATTCAAGTTGCCGGAGCTTCCGGTTTCCGGTGTCAGTGTGATAAGGGTTTCATTGGTGATGGATTTATCGACGGTGAGGGTTGCCGTAACGGTTAGTGCTAATACCTTTTGCTATTAAAGTTTCGATCATTTTTTCATGTTACTTTGGTCAATAGTTCAATACCTTGAATTGTCAACGTTAATACATTGTAATCAGATTTTAAAAACAATTTAAATTTTATAATATGCTTGATGAGGATGTGAAGTTGTTAATGAGTTAACATCCGTCTTATTGATTAATCACAATTTGACATTAAATATTGTCAAGTGGTTGGATAGAAAACCAATCAAATAAGGAATACTTTATAAGTCGTCCATAATGCAAGATTGCAAGTCAATGCACATAGCCCCATAATGTAAGTCAATGCGTTTGAGTACTAAAAAAATGGTAGTCTATTAGAAATGTTGCTAGTACTAAAAAATTGGTATTAATCATTCTTTGAAGCTTTGAGTCTACTCCTTGAGTCGTATGATAGTCCTATCTATCTTTTACCAATATAATTATCTAGATCATTCAACTTGGAGGGATAGATTCTAATATAATTATATGGAAATTTTTGTGAATTTGAATGCAGAGAAATATTTTGGAAATGAAGAAAGTTGTAGTGGGGATAAGCTTCATTTGCCAAATTGCCAAACAAACAAGTCCAAAAGGCGGCATAAATTACGTTTTGTAGTCACCTTAATCATCGCGGTAGCTTCTTTGGTTGGTGTGGTACTTTCATTAATATATATCCTAGTTCAATTTAGGAAAAAACAGAACAAGATATCTCAAGGATCAATGTTAAACTTGAAGTTGCCCTTCTTAAAAGTATCTTATGACATGCTTTTGAAAGCAACAGAGAGATTTTCGAAAGAAAACTTAGTTGGTGCAGGTCATTTTGGTTCGGTTTATAAAGGAGTCCTTGATCTCGAACACAATAAGAAGGTGATTGTAGCTGTGAAAGTCATCAGCCTTGATCTCAAAGGAGCAACAAAGAGCTTCATGGCAGAGTGTGAAGTATTAAGAAATATTCGTCACAGGAACCTTTTAAGGATCATTACTGCTTGCTCGAGTACTGACTTTCGAGGCAATGATTTTAAGGCGTTAGTTTACGAGTTCATGCCAAATGGAAATCTTCAACAATGGATTCACAACAATCAACATACTGAGAATATCTTAAGCCTCGTTCAAAGAGTAAGCATTGCGATTGATGTAGCATGTGCACTGGATTATTTGCACAACTATTGTGACATTCCGATAATTCATTGCGACCTCAAACCAGCCAACATTCTACTCGACAATGACATGGTTGCTAATGTTGGAGACTTTGGGTTAGCTAGATTTCATTCACAATCAAGTTCACGTATTACTAGTTCAGTCGCGGTTAAGGGGACTGTTGGATATGCTGCTCCCGGTAACTCCATGACTTATTTATTAACTACTTCGTACTTCTGCTTCTTAAACGATGCATCATTATTTATTTATTTATTTTACAAAATAAGCTGTTACGTTTTCTTATATTTTTTGTATATTGGGACAGAGTATGGCCTAGGAAGCAGAGTGTCTAAGGAAGGTGACATGTATAGTTTCGGCATTGTGTTGATAGAAATGATGATAGCACAATCTCCCACTTCCTCCATGTTCGAGGAGGGTTTAGACCTTCACAAGTATGCAAAGAAAGCATTATCGACAGACCGATTGTCCAGGGTAGTTGACCCTAGGCTTCTAGATGATAGTGATGGTGCAGGAAATGGGAATCAAGATATAATTTCGGCAACTAATGTCTGTAGAATGAAGTGCATAAAATCACTAATGCAATTAGGAGTAAAATGTTCAGTGGATTCACCACAAAAACGAATAAAAATCGAAGATGCCATCAAAGAGCTACAAGTAACAAAGGATACTTTTCTTGAAGAGTTGCGCATCATCAACCGATACATGTATTAAAGTTTTGGAAATTTGTTAGACACTACTGCAGTATCGATCTGATTGATTGAGAATAATTATTTTCTATATGTATGAGTATATACTAGTATTTAATTTCAAGTTTGTATTTTATTGCCTAGTATGTATAAAAGAAGGCAAATGTAAGATTTTAGATTAGCCAATTATAAGTGATCAATGATAAGTCGGCTATTGTTAGTAATTCATCAGCTTCCTACAATATTTTGATACAGTATTAGTACTCTGATCTACTTATTCTTTTTTTTTTTTTTTTTCTTTTTTTTTTTTTTTTTTTTTTTGGGGGGGAAATTCTACACAATGGTGGCATTCAGGTTTCAATTTTTTTTTACATAAAAGACAAACTTTTTTCCAACTCTCTCAAATGACACTCTGGTTTTGCAAAATTAATTAAGTGTAGTGTCCTTATTTTGGTTTTATGGCTAACTTTTATAATTAAAATGGTTAACCTAAGGTTTTTTAGTTTAAAAATTAATTAAATTATATTTTAAAATAATAAAATTAAAAAAAGCCCCCTACCCACGACCACCCTCCTCACCACCATCCACAACCCCAACCGGAACCCCCACATACCGCCGGCGCCCAGAAACACTTTTCCCGCGCCAGCGACCCCGTCCCCCTTACCCACTGAACCCACCACCTGAAAACCCCAAATCCCCAACCCAAAACCCCGAAACCCCTAAAAAACCCTCCCCCACCCTCGAAACCCCGTCGCCCAGGGTTTCGAAGGTGGGAGAGGGCCGGATGGATTTGGGGTTTAACGTGGTGGGGGAGGGTTTATTGAGGTTTCGGGTTAGGTATTTGGGGGTTTCAGGGGGTGGATTTAGTGGGTAAGGGGGAAGGGGAGGGGGGGACGGGTCGCCGGTGCGGAAAAAGGTTGTCTAGGCGCCGGTGGGGGTGGGAGCGGGCTGGGCTGTCGGAATGGTGAAGGCTGCCGCCTTCCGGGATGGTGGTGGTGGCCGGTGAAATTTCCTTTTGATTATTTTAAAATATATTTTAATTAATTTCTAAACTAAGAAACCTTAGATTAACCATTTTAATTATAAAAGTAAGCCATAAAAAAAAAAAAAAAAAAAAAAAAAAAAAAAAACATTACACTTAATTTTGCAAATCCAGAGTGCCACTTGAGAGAGTTGGAAAAAAGTTTGTCTTTCACGTAGAAAAATTAAAACCTGGAGACCACCATGTTAGAATTTCCCTTCTTTTCAATATTGCTCATCAAGGCTAAATACAAGGAAGAATATTTTTTTATAAAAGTGATTAGATGGTTTTAGCGACTTATAATTACATTGAACTTGATTATTGTGAATCCCATCTCCATTTGTAATTTGTGAGCATGTGCATTATATTATACATTAGTATTATACATAAAATGAATTTCAGGAATTACTTGCCAGAGGTACAGAGAGTTCAACAACAACAATTGAGTGGGCAATGTCTGAACTCATAGCTAAGGCTAGAGTGGAGATGGACCACGTGATAGGAAAGGGAAAATGGGTTCTAGAGAAAGATATACAAAACTTGCCTTATGTTTGCGCAATAGTAAAGGAAACAATGAGATTACACCCGGTAGCACCTTTGCTCGCGCCTCACCTAGCAAGGGAGCAAGTTAAAATTAAAGGCTATGATATTCCTAAGGGTTCCATTGTGCTTGTAAATACTTTCACCATACAAAGAGACCCTAAGGTGTATGAAAGGGCAGATGAATTTCGGCCTGAAAGATTTATTGTGAAACAAATATAGATGTCAAAGGTCACAATTTTGAGTTGTTGCCTTTTGGATCGGGGAGAAGGATGTGCCTAGGGTATAATCTTGGCCTTAAAGTTATTGAGACAAGTTTGGCTAATCTTCTTCATGGTTTTGCATGGAAATTGCCTAATAACATGAAGCCTCAAGAAGTGGATATGGATGAGGTTTATGGTCTCTCAAATCCTAAAAAGATTCCTCTTAGTGTTTGTGCTGAGCCTCGACTTTGTCACCATATTTACCATATTTGAAAATTTAAAATTTTAATTTTGAACCTTAAATACCTCAAGTTGGGTTTTGAGGTCGTAGCCTAGTAGGCCAAGGCCTTTTAATTTGTGTTCTTGTTTTAATTAAATCAAAGTGTGTAAGCTGTGGTGATGGTAGATGTTAAAGCTATATGTGAATATATTTTGTTACCGTAATTAGTTATGCATATATTTAGCTCGGCTCTGTATTTTTAGTTGCTACATTTCTTTAGTAATAATGTTTAATACTCTGTCTGTTGTATGAGGTTTCATATATGTGAGAGTATGGTAGAATTAATAAATCTTGTGGATAATAGCCCGAAAAATGGGTGAACCAAATATGTAAGAGTGAAATTGTGGTTTATTCCAACTAAAACTGATACTTTGTATGTAGTATGAGACAAAATTAAATAATAAACATACTAAAAATGAAAATAGGTTAAACATTAGGAGATGGATAGTAAAGTACGGAGTTGTATGTATTTGTGTTGTGGAGTAACTTATGCACTAGCCTACACTGTTTTTTTAACTCAAAGTGACAACGTTAGCCTACATTTAGGGTCCTGATTAGAGGCATAGAGTCGCGGAAACAAAGCTTAAATATGTTTCTAGTTTTCTTGAGTATAGTTGGCACTTGTCTCATCATGTCAATAGTATGACGAGGCACTTTTATTTGCAAATCACATAAACATTATTGGGGGTGTTAGGGTTTGGGCAAGTGCTTTTTAAAATTATTTTTGGGTCCAACAAACAAGTTTGCAGAAACCTAATATGAGGAGATTTTAGCTTATTGATTGTTTATACACTAAAAATAAAAAAACAAAAAACTAATAGCTAACACTTCCCATTTTGTAATACTTGCAACACACAATTTTTCACGTCTTTAAGAAAAGTGGACATCACATGATATAACACACTTAAAATAGGGGTGAGAGATTATAAAGAGTATAATTTAGTGGACAATGAACTTATACATAGTACAACATTCAACAACAAAAATTTCCAATTATAATGTGCTACACATGTATTGTGACATTTTCATTTTAGAAAATTGTTGCAAGTATTCAAAAACAGAGGAATTAATTATTTACCAAACACTTTTACACAATTACAATCAACTAATCAAACTGCTAACAACTAACAACTAGTCAAAGAAGCTAGCAGATACTATGTAATAGTTAAAAAGCTCCTCGTAATTGCCAAACAAGGCATTGCGCCCCATTAATAACCCAAAATTTAGCATTAAATAATTTGGATCGTTGGATGATCAATCGGAAAAAAAAAGGCCCATTCAGGCGATTTGAAATATATTATCAATGGACCATCTGCCCATCTTGAATTTTTCTTTGAAATGTTTGAATAGCAGTGTATTAAGCAAGAACTTTTCTACAGTTTATAGAGCTAAACTTATATTCTTTAAGGGATTATTCCGCTTATAAATAGACTCATTAGGATTGATTGACGGGACAACTTGACTTTTCGATGTAGCTTTAAACATATTATCTACTAAAATTCAAAACACACATAAAAATGATATTAGGAGCACTATTATATTATTTAATGTTGAAAGTTCGAAATTACGACCTAGCAAAATCATCCTTGTTCATATTCATTAGTTCTGTAATCCAAGTCTCAAACATAAGAAATATGCAAACTACCTCAAAAAATATAGAAAGAACAATATTAATGCTAGTGATACTATTCACTTTCATATCAACAACAAAAGCAATAACAAATCCAACAAAATGCATCAGATCATGCAACGGAACAACAGTAAACTACCCTTTCGGATTTTCCGAAAATTGCGAGTTTCGACTGAATTGCACGTCCAACGGTAGAATGGAATTCCAAGGTTTTGATATTATGAATATAACATGGAACTCCATTGTACTAAGTCTCTCTCCAAATTGTAGCCGTCCGATCAACCAAAGCCTACATCTTTTCGGAACAAACTACGTGTTAACTGCGCAAAATAGTTTACTTTTACAAGACTGTGTCACGCCATTAAACAAGTGCGTAATTCCATCGAACTTGGTTGAGAGCAGGTTTTCGAAGTGTGAAGGAAGGACTGAATATATGAATTGTTATGCTACGGAGAGTTTTAGCACTTTGAATTACGAAGATGTCATTGCTACTAGATGCCAAACTTTGTTTTCGTCAGTTGTTGTCCATGATTCTATAACTGGAGGTGATTTGGATTCTTCATGGGTCGAGTTTCAAGCAGTTCAGCTTGGTTGGTGGCTTACCGGCACGTGCCGGTGTCATCAATATGCGTATTGTAATCATGTTGGGACTTCTGGGTTCCGGTGTCGGTGTCGTCCGGGTTTCACCGGCGACGGGTTCATTGACGGAGAAGGTTGTCGTAAAATTCGTTACGGTTAGTGCCTCCCCCCCCCCCCCCCCTCTTTTTCGTATGCCTATTTTTTCATGGAAATGTAATTTGCACAGTATTACACACGTCCGTGAGTCAATGAGTCAACGGTGTAGTAGGTAATGATTTTATATTTTTATGAGATATGTCTTAGTCAATGTTCATTGCGCAAGACCTTGAGCTAATGAGTCAATGGTGCTAATTTAGCAACAATTACTCCTTTATTACAAGAGTGAATAAAGTTATTAGTATAATAAGTTTTTTTTTTTTTTTTTTTTTTGAGGGAATAGTATAATAAGTTTTTTATATACTTATCTATTTCATTTTTGTTTGCATAGAATTGTTGTATTTAAGGTTTAAAGTGCTCTTATATAGAATTGAGTGTACCAACGCTAGTGCAGAATATATAAATTTGTTGTCATTAAGGTTTAAAGTATATTATGTTACCTTTGTTTCTTATTATTTACAACAAGGAGTATTATCTATAAGACATAAAATATTCTTTCATTGCAAATAATAAGAAATGGAAATAGTATCTTTATATTTTAAGTGTGGGAAGTTAAAAGTATCAATTTTTTAATAATAGGTAAATTAATGTAGTTATTAAATGGATTAAGAGGATAACAATATTGGAAGTTTGTAATTTTCCCTAAAAGGACAGTAGTGTAAGTTATGGGAGAAATTGTAGGGTTTCTATGTTTAAATAAAATAAAGAATGCACATAATTGAAAGATTGGAATTTTGGAGCAATTGAGACTCTCAAATTGTGGTAAGAATTAAGGTTGCTCATCCACCAACTTGCCTGAGTAAGCATAAACTTATAAAAAGGTTGCTCAGACTTCTAAAAATTTTCAATACTTGTAAATAGATAGATATTCAAAATTTTGACTAGTTTGCTTCAATCATTCAAGTTTAATTAGTCTGATTTGTAAGAATTTTCTTGTACTGTTTTTAAGGCATAGGTAGATTTTAATTACTACGTATTTCTATGAATTGGAGGATAAGCAATAATGATTATGAATGAAAGCTTTTGCTGAATTACATGCAGTAACAAATTTTGAAGATAGCAAGATTGGCAGAGTGTATCCTGGTGATGAGCTTCATAGCTTTCTTCGTTTGTCAAGTTCCCAAGGCAACCAATGTAAGTGCCCGGGTCGACGACTTCTTGTGGAAGCGCTTATTGCCTTTGTTGGGGGCTTTGGGTTGATGTCTTTGATATTGTCATTGGTATACTTCACAGTTCATAGTGGGAGGAAAAACGATAAGTTGTCTCAGATTTATAGTAGGAGGGAAAAAAATAAGTTGTCTCAAGTATCGTCTTTGAACTTAAAACCGCCCTTCTTGAAAGTATCTTATAACATGCTTTTGAAAGCTACAAAAGGATTTTCGAATGAAAAATTAGTGGGCGTAGGCCATTTTGATTCTGTTTATAAAGGAGTCCTTGATCTGGACCAAAATAAAATGGTTGTCGCCGTTAAAATCATTAGCCTTAATCTGAAAGGAGCGACTAAGAGTTTCATGGAAGAATGTGAGGCGTTAAGAATTAGTCGTCACAGGAACCTTCTTAAGGTTGTTACTGCTTGCTCGAGTATGGATTTTAAAGGTAACGATTTCAAGGCGTTGGTTTATGAGTTCATGCCTAATGGAAATCTTCAGCAGTGGATTCACGTTGATCAACATGAGAGAACCCTAAGCCTCATTCAAAGATTAAATATCGCAATTGATGTAGCATGTGCACTTGATTAATTTGCACAACGATTGTGTCATTCCTATAATTCATTGCGACCTGAAACCAAGCAACATTTTGCTCGACAATGATATGGTTGCTCATGTTGGGGACTTTGGCTTAGCAAGATTTCATTTACATGCACGTGTAAGTTATAGTAGTTCACTTACAGTTACAGGGACTGTTGGATATGTTGCTCCCAGGTAACTCCACAATATTATTTATTTTCTCGAAATAAGAAATTATTTTCGTATATTTTACCTATCAATAGCCAATTTCCTCACCTCTGAAATGTCCTGTTTTGGACAGAATATGGCCTAGGAAGCATGGTATCCGAGGAAGGTGACATTTACAGTTACGGCATTGTGTTGTTAGAGATGATGACTGCAAAAACTCCCACGGATAGGATGTTTGGCGGAGATTTAGACCTTCATAAGTACGCAAAATCAGCATTATTGACAGACCAGCTGTCCAAGATAATTGATCCACGACTTCTAGATGATAGTATTGGTGCAAGAAATAGGAATCAAGATGAAACTTTATTGGCAAGTACTGACAGTTATACCAAGTGTATAAAATCTGTCGTTAAGGTTGGATTAAAATGTTCAGTCGAGTCATCTCTATATCGGATAACAATCAAAGATGCCATCAACGAACTACTACGGACAAAGGATAAATTACTTAAAGAGTTACGCATCATCAACAGATACATGTATTGAATATTGTCAGATGCTATATAAATAGACGGTTGAGCATGCTATAGATTACAAACAAAGTACTCAGTGTTTATATAATTAATGTAGGATTTCCCCACCCCCTAAAATAAGGGTGGTCTAGTCGGGCTTGATCTCTTAATTAAGGTCTTTAAAACATACATTTGACCATCAATTCTTATATATATAGTGCCTTAATTTTGCAATTAAATTAAGGTCTTCTTAACATATATAAACTTGACCATCAATATGTTTATTGACGTATTAACAAAATTATAAAATGTTGATATTATAGACTATAAATTGAGACAAATCTATAAATATATACATTAATGACAATTTTTGGTCACTTTCTAAAGTTTAACCTTGAAAATAGGGATAAGCACATAAAGGCCAGAGAGGAGGGAGTAAGATCTTGTTAATCTGTAATGATGATTATTTTTAAACATCTTATTTTCATAATCTTTAAATATAGATGTGATATAGTTTGTTTTGATTATATACACGTATGGAGCAATAAGTTTTAGAAATAAAACATGATAAGAGTTAAGACCCTCTTGGTATTTTGATGATTGGCAAACAAACAAACTTTGACTCATGGTGTTTGATAGTCTTTGGTAGAACGAAAAGATTCAGGCGATATTAACTGTTTCGGAGTAGGAGCAACTGAATTGGAAGTTTTGATATTTGTATGCAAGCTTTCAAGAAGAAGAGAAAATTCCATTCCATAGCATTCATTGTAAGCATTAGAGGAGCTCAGTAAGGAACTAAATGTTTTAACGTAAAATATAAAATCAGTTTTATTCCTTAATAATTAAAGGATTAAATAAAATCAGTTTTTCAATAGATATATTTTCTGTAAATAAATAAAATATAAATAATTGTTTAATTTAAAAGATAAGGTTGTTATTTTTGGATTAAATAATTATTTAAGGTTTTATCTATTTAAATAATAAATAAACATCTTATAACTGATTTTATTTGACTAAGTAAAATTGATTACCTACCTTTAAGGAGCACGTTGGATGCTTGAGAGAAAAGGTAGGGAGATCCAATTTCTCACTCTTTGATCAACGTTCACTTTTGACTTACTCCCCAAGTTAAGGTGTACGTGGGTTATGGGAGGAGTGGAAAATGTGATTGAGGCTACCCATCTCTCTATAAAAGGCATGCAACAGATTTGGATTTAATACAACGAAAAACATTCAGTTTTAGAGCTTAAGTTTTTCAAAAGTATTTACATTCAATACAAAAGAGTGCTGAGTTCCTTTCTGTCTTAATCTTCTCTAGTGCATTAGGATTAGTTTTGTAATTACTTTTGTAATTTGGGATTGGGGTTTGAGAGAATTGTAACTAAGAGACTTAGTTGGAGTGAGTCTATTAAAGAGTTGTAAGTGATTCAGAGTCGAATCAAGAAAGAGAGTCAAGCTGCTGTAGAGGGACCATACCGTAGCTGGGATACTTGAGTTCCTAGAGGAACTTGAGTGTAGGCCGAAGCTTCACCTTTGTAAAAGAGTCTTTACATAGTGAAAATATTCGAAAAGTCTATCTCGTGTGTTATCTCTTATCTTACGTTGTTTAATTCCGCAAAAAGTTCACTATTTTCTATAGTATATAATCCACCCCCCTCTTATAGTAGACATCGAACTATTAATAACAAAGGAATTTCAGCTTATATATATACTTGGACCCAACAATGAATTATATGAAATTATAATTACTCTATATGAATTACAATCTTGACCGTTTAAACGGAGAACATACTATCGAAAAGCATGCATGACTCCTGCAAGAGCCTAGTAAAATTCAGTACAGTATGTAATTGATGAATTTAGCATATACTAGACAATGTGAAATTTAGTACATTTACCTAGACGCGCTTTGCACGAATGACATGTAGTTGTTTAAGGAGAGCATCCTTTGTTACTTGCAACTCCCCAATAGCATCTTCGATCTTCATTCGATCTTGTGGTGACTCCATGGAACATTTTACTCCAATTTCAATGATAGATCTTATGCACTTATGTTTCCTGTGAACTTCTGTCAAAATTTCACCTTCATTTCCTTCACTTGTACCACCATTCTCTAGGAGCCTTGGGTCAATGATGTTTACCAATTGATCAGACAATGCTGCTGAATTAGCATAATTGTGAAGGTTTAAACCTCTTTCGAACATCTCACCAGTGGGACTCTTTGAAATCATCATCTCTAACAACACAATGCCGAAACTATAAACATCACCTTCCTTAGACACCATACTTCCCAAGCCATATTCTGTTCAAAACAGAATTATTCAAAGCAGAGCTTATAATTTACAATTACAAGTATATACTAGCTATCTAATTTTAGATTTCAATGTTATTACTGTTATTGCATATTACCTGGAGCTGCATATCCAACTGTGCCTTTGACTGCTATGGAGCTACTATTGTTTGCAGTTGCACGCAAAAGAAATCTAGCTAACCCAAAGTCCCCAACATGAGCAACCATATCATTGTCCAGGAGAATGTTGCTTGGCTTTAGATCGCAATGAATGATAGGAGTGCCGCAACCATTGTGCAGGTAATCCAATGCACTCGCCACATCAATTGCAATATCTACTCTGTGAAGTAGGCTTAGGATTCTCACACGTGCATCCATGAAAATCCATTGATGAAGACTTCCATTTGTCATGAACTCGTACACTAAAGCCTTGAAATCATTGCCTTGAAAGTCAGTACTCGAGCAAACCGTGACAATCTTAAGAAGGTTCCTATGACGGATACTTCTTAATGTTTCACACTCGGCCATGAAACTTTTGGCAGCTCCTCTCTCTTCAAGATTGATAACTTTAACAGCTACAACCATACTATAACTCTCACGATCAAATACTCATTGGTAAACAGACCCAAAATGGCCTGCACCAAGTAAGTTTGCTTCCGAAAATCTATTTGTAGCTTTGGAAAGCATGTCATATGATATTTTCGAGAAGGGCTCTATCAAGTTTATCTCGGATCCTTGAGACGGTTTGTTTCGTTTCCTCCTTGAACAAAGTAGGAAGTATACTAATGACACTATGGACACACCCGCAACCAAAGAAGCTACTGCAATGATCACAATCACGACAACAGACAATTTACTCCCCTTTCCTTTCGAATCATTATTAGGTGGACATGTTGGCAAATGATGCTCTAGAATCCCTCCACAAATCTTGTTATTTCCAAGAATTTTCAATCCACTTAAATTCATAAAAACACCTTTCCTAGGGATCTCACCCTCAAAATTATCAAAAGATAAGTCTAGTCCTACTAATGGAAAATTTTCTAAGAACCTTGGAATTGGACCAGACAACTTATTATGAGACAAGTTTAAAACTCGTAAACCAGTTAATGACTTAAAAGACTGAGGGATGAACCCGGTGAACAAGTTTTCTCCCATATGTAGCTCAACAAGCTCATTGCAACTACCAAGGGTGGTAGGAAGTTTTCCTAAAAACGAATTTCCTGACATATCCAACACAACTAAATTTCTTAGTTGCTCAATTTCAACCGGGATGACTCCTTGTAATTGGTTGTAGGATAATCCTAGCTCAACTAACATCGAAGAAGCTTGGAATAACTGAGGGGGTAGAGTTCCACTTAGCCTATTATTTGAGATTGTCAAATACAATAGATTATTACAACTACCTAGACTCGAGGGTATTGTTCCTTCAAATCTATTGTTAGCTAGATTGACCTCACTCAAATGTGAGAAATTACCCCATGAATTAGGAAGAGTTCCAGAGAGATAGTTATCATTATAATCAAATAATTCTAACTTAGTTAGCTTCTGAATCTGAGGCGAAAGATTTCCAGTGAATTGATTACCTTGCAAGCCTAGTACTCTTAAATTAATAAGGTTATAAAGAGATGATGGAATGCTTCCTGAAATTTTATTATATGGAAAATTAAATACAGTTAGTTCTGACAAGTTACCTAAAGAAGCTGGTAAAATCCCTCCAAAGTTATTAAAAGAAGCTTCCAAACGGTATAACTTACTACAATTTGCAAAAGTTTGTAGAAAACTTAAATCATCTGCTTCTCTAGTACCCAAGTAGTTAGAGTTGACCTCGACGAATAACAAATTGGGCATATTTCTAGCACTAAAAATGAATTTTCCTGTGAATTTGTTTGAATAAAGACCTAATTGCTCAAGCTGAGTAAGATTTGAGAGGGAAGTTGGTAGGTTTCCATGGAAGGAATTTTTACCTATGAAAAACGCGGTGAGTTGAGGAAGGCGGAACCCAATATCTAAGGGAAGTGTACCATGGAACTTATTTTTTTCTAAACTAACCTGTTGAAGACGAGAAAGATTGTAAAAGGAAGGAGGAATAATACCTGACATCTTATTTCCAGAAATATAAATGTAAGCTAAATTTTGGAGTGCTACTCCAATGTTGTCCGGAATGCTTCCGTGAAAGGAGTTATTCGAAGCCAACAATATTTGCAAGGAAGTCAAGTTTATGGCGACCTTATTAAGGATGTCACCCTTAAGTCGATTATAAGAAAGTGACAAAACTTGTAACTTAGTAAGGAGACTAAGTTGAGATGGAATAAATCCACCAAGATTGTTGCCTGATAATTGAAGTTGCTTGAGGTTTAAGCAACGAGATACGTTGGCTGGAATTTCGCCTTCAAAGGTGTTTTTAACTAACTGTAGAGACCTTAACCTTAATAGATTTCCAATTTGAGGTGGTATGTGACCTCTAAAGCTATTGTTGTATAAATTTAGAACATGAAGGAAACTTAAGTTGCCCACATAAGGTGATAGAGTTCCCACCAAATTATTGTTTGGAAGATTTAAACCGACGACTCGATGTGGATGCTTGGTGCCACAAGTGACACCTTCCCACTCGCAAACCGGAAGGGAGTTGTTCCAAGTGTTTAAAACTCCGCGAGGGTCAAGTGTGATTCGAGACTTAATCGCTACGAGGGCTACGTGGTCTACGGTAAAGGGAAAGACGGAGTGGAATAGGCATAAGAAATGAATAAGCAAAATGAATACAAAGGTAAATTTAGGATTCATTGCGTTTTGTAAAAAAACTAGTGTTTGAATGCTGTTTTTGTTATTTGTGAAGTATGTTATGTTTATCAATATGCTGCACATATATAGTAAGTAGGGGTGGTTATTGGACGGGTCAGTGCGAGTCAATGCGGGTCATTAGTGGGGCGGGTCAGTTGCGGGTCAAGATGAATATTTAGCCGTTAGGGTCGAGGTAAAAGTGAAACGGGCCTTTACCCACATTGAAAACAGAGAAGAAAAAGGAAAATGAAAATAAATTAAATTAAATTAAAAAGGAAAATAAAACCAAATTCCCTAAAATCAATCAGACCCCCTCTATTCTCTTCCTCTTCGTGAAGTCGTGAAATGCTTGGCTGCACTCTCTTCTCCATCAGCTCCAACACCATCGCAAATCAGAGCCATTGATTTTCTTCGTTGCTCAATCGTAGAAGCCCAAAGTCATCATCAAATCGCAGCCGCACAATTTCATTAAACCCATAAAATGATGATGATACCTGAGAAGCTGAGAAGCGGCTTCAATGAAGAACTCTGAGTGCGCTTCAATGGAGGAGAGAGAAAGGTATTTGGGTTAATTTTTTTTAAAAAAAAAAATTACACGATCTCTCCCTTGAATACACAACTCCCATAGAATCAACAAATTCGAAATTAACAACAATTTTTTGAATAAATTTTCAGCAGAAACAGTAATTATTCAGCAATCTACTTTGCCTAAAAAAATGAAAATCCAACACAAGTTACACCTTAATCGAAACCTTTTCTCTCCCCTCTAAGCTTGAACAGATGTAAAAACCACTTCGATTTGAAGAAATGGTAGAAAGAATCGAGACGAATACGAAAGATTTCTGGAAATTCAGTGAAGATCAGAAGTTAGAGGTGGGCAGAAGAACAGAGGAGAAGAGAGAAAATGGAAGTGACGGCGTTAAGTCAAAGAAGTGGTGAGTGGGGCTGACCCTTAACCATTATTATTAGGCTTTTTATTTTAATTCTTAAATTATTGGGCTCTAATTGAAACCCTATAAACCCCTAAAAAATAAGATCTTATAAACCTTGTCCACTAAAAAATTAAAGGATCAAAACCCTTTAGTATTAGGCCCGACCCTTTTGTCATTGGGTAGCCCTACCAATAACCACTCCTAATAGTAAGTTACTAATGTGGATGGACCATTATTTATATGCCAGGTCTAACCAATTTGTTGCAAAAATTGAGTTGAATGTAGTAGCAATATGCTAGAATGGATGGACCACTAAATATATGCCAGGTCTAACCAATTTATTGCTTATTAATTAGGAAATTAAATGTAGTAGCAAGTGGAATAGATGGGCGACTATGCAAATGGCAAGGTCTAGGCAATTTGATAACTTACCGCTGAAGCGGTATACAGATCAGTTCGGCATCAAACTGGCATATTCAGCGGTATGCCACCCGCAAAGTAACGGACAAGCCGAAGCTGCAAATAAACAGATCTTAAATGCCCTCAAGAAGAGGGTGGAAGATCAAAAGTCCAAGTGGCTGGAGGAGCTCCCAGGAACCCTTTGGTCCCTTCGGACAACTGAAAAAGAGGCAACATGCTATTCACCTTTTGAACTGGTGTATGGTGCCGAAGCCGTCCTTCCATTGGAAATTGGCTCTGAGAGCCTACGAGTGCACCACTTCTCGGCTGAGAATGAGCGACTGATGAGGGAATCTCTCGATTTCCTCGACGAAGTAAGAGACTCAACCCGAGACAGAATGGCCGCTTATAAGCAGAGAATCAGCAAATTTTATAACCGAAGGGTCCATGCAAGGCCTCTCAAAATTGGAGACCTTGTCCTTCGGAATGCTGCTGCAGTTTAGAAAGGCCGAATCCATGGGAAACTCTCAGCTGCATGGGAAGGACCTTATGAAATCTATGATGAGCTTCAGCCAGGGACATACCGACTTCGACAGTTGGATGGAACTGAGTTGAAAAATCACTAGAACGCTGATGTACTGAAAAAATATCATGTGTAAACCCTTCGGGGCAGAACAATCTTTGTAAGTACATTTTGAACTAATGAAAGGCCTTGGAGCCGCCATTTATATAAATGTTTACAACTTTTTATCCTTTCAAAGTTTTCTTTGTTCTATCTACTCTTTAAGGGTTTTTTATTCAGCCTCGTCTGAAACCTTCGCCTTCGGGTAACTGGGTTTCAGATTGCTGACAAAACTCGTCTTTTTAAAGAACACTGGTCTTTCAGCTGAAGTCAAACCTCAGTAAGACTTGTTCTCCAAAGACATGAGTCCATGGACAATTCTGGGATATTGCCTTAACTGAGCCTTGTATCCCAGAGAGCCATTATCCGAAACATTGCCTTAAGTTGGCCCTGTGTTTCGGGTATCCATTTTTCAAAGATAGACAGAAAATCAAGGATAACAGCAACAGTGGAAAATTGTTTATTCAGCCTCGTCTGAAACCTTCGCCTTCGGGTAACTGGGTTTCAGATTGCTGACAAAACTCGTCTTTTTAAAGAACACTGGTCTTTCAGCTGAAATCCAACTTCAGTAAGACTTGTTCTCCAAAGACGAGTCCATGGACAATTCTGGGATATTGCCTTAACTGAGCCTTGTATCCCAGAGAGCCATTATCCGAAACATTGCCTTAAGTTGGCCCTGTGTTTCGGGTATCCATTTTTCAAAGATAGACAGAAAATCAAGGATAACAGCAACAGTTGAAAATTGTTTATTCAGCCTCGTCTGAAACCTTCGCCTTCGGGTAACTGGGTTTCAGATTGCTGACAAAACTCGTCTTTTTAAAGAACACTGGTCTTTCAGCTGAAATCCAACTTCAGTAAGACTTGTTCTCCAAAGACGAGTCCATGGACAATTCTGGGATATTGCCTTAACTGAGCCTTGTATCCCAGAAAGCCATTATCCGAAACATTGCCTTCAGTTGGCCCTGTGTTTCGGATACCCATTTTTAAGAAGTGAAGAAATTGTTTATTCAGCTGAAGCCATACTTCAATTTCTGGGGGGGCAAGAAGCACTATCAGTGCAAGTTAATGTTCAGCAGAATTGAAGAAACAGTAAAGCATTCAAAAACAAAGCAGCTGAAGAAAAGAGCATCAAATTAATAATTTATGCTCAGAAATTGAGCTACAAGTTCAATTAAACTGTATCGGCAACCGCCCACAAGCGGAAAATAACAGCTGCCGAAATACGTACATAAGCAAAAAAATAAACTGTTGTACGACAAGGCAAGCTGAAGCAAAAAACAAGGCAAAAAAATTCAGAAAGCGGCAAGTCTAAAGTTAAGCGCATGATGAACCGCAAGATTCTGAAGACGACTGCCCGAGTTCCTATGCTTCAGCCCGAGGATCAGACTGATCAGCATTGTTGAGCCCCATGGTGGCCTCAACCCCAGCAGCAGAAGAAGCAGGCTTTGCACTCTGCCGAGCCTCCATTTCCCTCTGTTCAGCCTCCAACTCCATTCTCTCAGCTTCCTCTTCGGCTTCCTCAGCCTTAAGAATTTCAGCTTCGACTGGAGTTGCATACTTCATATGAGGGTCTTCGGGATTCTGGACCCATTCAGCACACTTGGACCAGTCCAGCTTCGGCTCAGCATGAAGGCAGACTCTTCGGCATACTCTGAACCTGTTTCTGAAACCCATTTTATATTCTTCCTGGGTATAGACACAGACTTTGAGTAGAGCCTCAGCATCAGCCAACTTCTTCTGGGTCTCCTCCAAGTCTTCCTTGGATTTCTTCAGCTCATCGCCGAGCTTGGAGGAGGAACCTTTCAGCTCATTCAGCTCCTGCTGAACTTGGGAAGCCTCTGTCTGAGCCTGGGCCATTTCTTCTTTTTTGGCCATCAGCAGATCCTCAACCTCTTGGAGCTTAGCTCTCTAAGCTTCAGCAGCAGCAACAGCCTCTAAGAGTTGGACATCCCTGGCCTGGAGCAGCTCTTCAGCAGCCATTCTGCTGGCTTCAAGAGCTTCTAGCCGTTGCTGCACTTCAGCTTGTGCAGCAGCTCCTTCCTGAATACGGCTCTCAACGGCAGCCTTGAATTTGGAGACGTCCACTCCCATGTGCTCCTGGAGGAATTTTTCCCCTTCCATCAGTGGGGGAAAAACTTCCTTCTCCATAGCGTCGCAGAAGGTTTTGAGGGCTTCAGCAGCTTTTTTCTCGTACTCCTCACCCTTCTGCTGCTTCTCTTCAGCTGTTGCTTGCTTCAGCTTAGCAAGCTTTAATTCCTCTTCAGCTACCTTCTTGTCGTGCTCGGCAGCGTCTACCCTATCTTCTAGGGTATCTATCAGCTCTACAGTGAGAGTCTGATTGTGCACGAACTGAAAACAGGAGCACAAGTTAAAAAATAAAAATAAATAAAAATAGAGTTGAATTTTAGAGGAAATAAAGGCAAGGAAAATCACCTGCATCATCAGCAGTTGGTTAGACCTGGCTGGGTCAGGAACTGATCTGCTGGATTCGCCCATCCCAGCAGTGGCCTTCAGCGACCAGATTCTTGCCCTATCTACTTCGGACATGCCAGCAAAATCGCCGAAGTAGGCTGCAGCACCTTCTCGGTTCTGACCCCATATGAGGTCCCAGATGTGATCTGGGATTGGAATTCGGGGGGCCAAGAAACCCATTTCTCCAGATTGCAGAGTCTGGAAGGAGGGAAAGGATGACGATGGAGCTTGTTTAGCTTTAGATGGCTCAGCATCATCCTTCTCAGAGGAGTCAATTACTATGACCTCTTCTTCTTCAGGGGTGAGGACGAAAGCCTCAACCTCTCTTGCAATGTCTGCCGTGAAACCCTCAGCACTGGGCATCACGGCATCCTTATTCTTGTGCTCAGCAGCACTCTCCTGAACTTCTTCTTGGACCCCTCCCTTAGATTCGGGAGTTTTTTGATCCACCTCCATCTCAGGAGGTGGCGGAGGGGTCTTTTGAGGTGATTGAGGTTGTGGCCGGGGAACCCTCGGCGATCCATTTCCTTCCTCGGGTTCCCTTATTTCAACGCCGATGGTCATCGGCCTCCGCTGAA